GGGTTTGGGGTTTGAGTCTAGGGCTTCACGATTCAAGATCCTTCTTCAATGCTGGCTGGGCTTGGCCCGGAGTTAAGAGACTGAAAGAAGACGTGAATGAGCAATCCCGAAGTGCGTATTCGGATTTTCGGGTTTAGGGTTTAGGGTTTAGGGTTTAGAGTTTAGGGTTTAGAGTTTAGGGTTGGGACCACGTCTTAAGCTCCGAGATGGAGGAATGTTATTTCCTCCCAAACACTATATGCTAAGCATTCCCATAAGCTACAATCACCTGCTTTTTGTAGGTTCTGGTTATAAACCTTAAACGTGTAATAGTGTGGAATTTATAGGGACCTTACAAAATGAAAATTTGGTCGTTCAAGGTAGACCGATAAAGTTACTACGGAATCAGGCGATGAACAAACTGCATTTTTCCGTTGATGAATTAACGAACGAACTATCTAACCAAGTGAATGACCGGCTGACTGGCTGGCTGGCTAGCTGGCTGTGTGACTGACTGCCCGACTAACTGTCTAACTAGCTGACTAAGTGACTACATGCCTGCTTATCTATACCTAGCTAACTAGCTTGCTAATTAGCTAGCTAGCTGACCCAGCAACTACCTAGCTCAGCTGATTCACCAAGTAGTGAAATAAACTCTTCGAGCCACGCATGATTCCTAGAGCAGATATTGAGTAAGTGAGTGAGTGAGCAGCTTGGCATTGGTATCTAGCCTATGCTGTATGGTATGTCCGCAAATAATTACCTTCTTGCCAATAAATGTGTGTGTGTGTGTCCATGGTGGTTGATGCATGTGTGTGTGTGTGTGTGTGTGCGTGTGCAAATGTGTGTGCATGTATGCATGTATGTGAACACACACACACACATATATATATATATATATACACATGCATACACCCACACACACACATATATATATATATATATGTATGTATATTTGTGTGTATATATACATACATATGTATGTATGTATAGACAGATAGATTATACTAGATTAGATTAGACTAGATTAGGTTAGATTAGATGAGATGAGATGAGATTAGATTAGACTAGATAGATAGACAGACAGAAAGAGAGAGAGAGAGAGAGAGAGAGAGAGTGAGAGTGAGAGTGAGAGTGAGAGTGAGAGTGAGAGTGAGAGTGAGAGTGAGAGAGACAGAGAGAGAGA